ATTTGTATTTTTAAAGGGAAACAATTACCACGTGGTGAAAAAATTCTATCTAGCGTTGTTGCTTGGTTTCAAGATAACGGCTGGATGGATACTAATTTGATAATATAATATGTCAATTATCTTAATGATATGAGTATCAATAATAAAAGGTCCTAGCAATGATAGTGTATGATTTGTTTAAAGTACATTTAAAAGATTCAGTCAAGAATAAGTTTCATGATAGTGATATTGATTTAGTAGTTATTCTGTCTAGCTTAACTAGTATTTGTCAATCACTTGACATTGCAAGTAATAAGTCATTCAAAGATAATCTTTGCAAGGAATGGCATCTTTGGATGGCAAAAGGTAGTGCTGGAAAAACTGTGGCTGGAAACCTTCAACATGCTAGAATAAGTGATGTATGTGGATTGGTAAAAAATTCTTGGAAACAAATTCCCGATGATATTATTATTAAATCTTTCATTAAATGTGGTATTTCAAATGATTTAAATGAAGATACTGTTACTAATAAGTACAAGAATAATATTGAAATTGTAGATCTTAGTAGTAAGAATGTTGAAATTGTAGATCTTAGTAGTAAGGACATTGAAATTGAAGATCTTAGTAGTAAAGCTGTTGAAATTGTAGATCTTAGTAGTAAGGACATTGAAATTATAGATATAAATAAGGACATTGAGGATATTAGTGATGATATTGAATTTATGGATATTAGTGATGATATTGAATTTATGGATATTAATGATGATATTGAATTGATGGATATTAGCAATGATATTGAAATTATAGACATTAGTGAAGTTATGGACATTGGCAACGATATGGATATTAGCGATAATTAGTTTTATTTATTGTAAATATGAGTTGTATTACCAAGCTGCATAATTTAATAATAATTTAAGTATTTGGCTACAATAAATAATAAAATATATTAAAACCTATTAATGTGAAATCAGAGAGGCAAAACTAATATAAAACGTGGGGGTGCTTATTTTTGGAGAAGGTACAAACTGTCGGTGGTGCTTAATTTCGGGGGTGCTTAATTTTGGAACTATACGGTATTTATTGCCCACTTCTCTGGCCTAGGGGGCATGCCTGGGGGCATGCCTTTGGACCAGAAGAAATGCCCATATCATGTGATCATAGGAAAGTCCCACGCATATGATTGGCTGATATAATCTATTTCAGCACTTTACTTA